GCCAGTGCTTGACCACAATCCCACCTGGTGGTAAGTGGTGATGTAGCCTTAGCTGGTAAATCGCATTTTCTTATCGTAACAAAAGCCTATTCACTCTTGCCTTGAAGCCGCCCAGATTGTATTCGGACGGAAAGATAGACGCCGGCAAATTATTCCACTCCTTTGCTGTACGCATAGATTAAATCTGTGGCTGTACGCTATCGACAACAAAGGGATGAAGGCGATGAAGACCCGCCGACCGCCTGGTTGTCCGATGGTGGAAAGGAGAGGGAGGAATTAAACCATGTAATTCATTCATTATTCATTACAGCTTACCGTAGATTGCTAAACATAGATCTCCCCCATAGATTGTCTCATAGGCGATGTTTGCTATAATTGCAACGCTTGGCAGGCAGGTTGTTATCAGGAAGATGCTACTTCTCATCTGTTTAACTTTCCTCTGTCCTCTATTACGACATCTATAACATGATATAGGATAATGTTCTTCTTTTTGCTCTTTTTTTTTCTTTAAAAAACGTTACCCACACACTAGGATTTTCTCCTGTATCGCGGAGCCAGTTTACAAACGCACATTCCACAAGGACCAATTATTTGTAGGCCAAACAAATACTTGTTCCGTGCGGGATTCGAACAGACGATAGATGAACTAAGTAGTAAGTGGCGCAAATATGAGTCTCTGAGAGATGACTACATTTGTGCCATTTGCTTTAGAAACCACTGGTCGTTACTGCTGGTTATAAGAGGGCTGATTCTTTTCTCGTTCAAAGGCTAAGTATAGCCATTCAGCGGGGAAACGCGGCCAGCGTTCTTGGCACGATACCGCGGGGAGTAGGACTGTATGATAATTGTATTAAGCAATTTTTTTGCATGTTAGGAAGTATGAACGCATTTTTTTTTTGTCAATAAACTACTGACCAGTTTGGCAGACTGTAAAACTGTAATAATGTAAATTTCTATTATATTAAATAAATACTACAACACTATATGAGAAAATCATGATACATAGCCGATGTTTCTTTATAAAATAAGATAACAATAATTATAACTTTTAACAAAAAGTCAAAAGTGGTCTTTTGACTTTTGTTAAAAGATCAAAAGGTAAGGACCAAGCTCTCACAGAATACCAGCGTAAAATAGCAGCTTAACGCTGCTGTGTTTCGTATGGTGAGTGTGGAGAACCGGAGCCCCTTTTTACTGGAAATGAGGCATTAGATCTTAGTCCTCACGGGTCACAACGCATCTGCATTTTGATTCGTAATCGAAGATAGATGTAGATGTCTATGGGCCGCAGCAACCATTTACCATCAGGTGGATTGTGTGCTCGTTTGTCACCCTTATCCTATAAAAAAACTGACTTCTAATTGTTATAAAAGAAGTCCTTGAAGTATAACCTATTTAATAAAGAAGAATCATTAAATTCGGTTCTCAATCTGCGAAGATATCCCGTAAAATACTTACAATAACAAAGAAAAGATCATACACTCGAATTGAGAACCTCCTCCTTTTTGAGGTCGATTAAATACGATCGATAATTCATGCAGTGCATTGTATTGTTTGTGGGATACCGCGGCCGCGGGACGTTGCCACGTGCGATTCTGACAGCACGAACGTCACTTATCGCATCGTACTCGTCGCGTCTCCGTAGACAGGTGTGTTGCGCGTGCGCCGCTCCCATAAATACCCTGCACTATCTCCCGCTCGCCAGTAGTTGCTCCACTGCGCTAATATTCGGACGTGTCTTGTGTTGTGCTATAACTTGTGTTAGTGTCTCTCGGAATATCTCACCATGATCATCTGCCTGTCGGGATTCGTAATCGCCGGGTTAGTAGCTTAAAATGGATAGTTTTGCATGAATAATTGTTGCAAAGTATGTTACTGGTAATAAGGCAGTGCATCTCGGTCGAGGGTGGATTAGGTGTCTTTGGGTCACAGCATACCGGTCGCCGTTACTTGTATTTTGCAAATAATCATATTTAGGACTACAAATGTCATGTTCCATGCCCATTAGCGAACTTTTACATGTAAATATTAACAGTCCTATCCGCGAAATAAGCATTACTATCAAACAATCGAAATATGCATAATACTGATTCTCGTGATAGCGAAATTTTTTTATTTTTTTATTTTATAGTATCGAGTAACAAACGAGCACACATTCCACCTGATGGTAAGTGGTTGTGGCCCATAGACATCTACATTTATCCTCGTTTGCGAATCAAAATGCAGATGCGTTGTCACCCGTAAGGACTAAGATGGAATGCCTCTTTTCCAGTAAAAAGGGTCTCCGGTTCTCTACACTCACCATACGAAACAGCAGTGGCTGCTATTTTACGCTGGTATTCTGTGAAAGCGTGGTCCTTCCCCGGTCGAGCCGACCCATTAGTAATACAACTATACTACATAATATAGCTGCAGCATGGCTCTACCACGTACTACGTAACTAGAAAGGGTTAGTTCTGTATTATAGACACAAAATGGTGTAATTCAACCCATGGGAAGTTTCTGTGAGAAGCTGTTACATTTTAATAACTATGCGTTGGCGTTTAATAAAACCGAATGTACATCGTCAAATCATTTTTTATTTTATCTATACAAATAAATAAAATTGAAGGGTCTGTTTGTAATGTCGAAATGACGGCTTTTTACTATATGCATATGACAGTATATACGGTATTTGTAACAAAAACACGATTTTTAAAATTTTTGTCTCTGCCTGCTTGTTTCGGCTAATCTCCGAAACGGCTGGACCCATTTTGACCGGACTTTTACAGATAGCAGATGTTATAAGAAGTAACTTAAGCTACTTTTATTTTAGAGAAAAGAATTAGGGTTTCGCGCGAAAAATTTAAATCACTGAAATCCAATCGTAATAAATTACGCGCGAGCGAAGTCGCAGGGAACAGCTAGTATCTAAATATATTGTCATTGCTCTATTAGTATCAAAAAATTAAATAGTACTCAAATTACTATATAACCCATTTAAGTCTTTAGTAGGAAGCTGTATCTATGTCTGTATGTTCTGTCACATTCCATTTTTCTTCTGTTGTTTAAAATAATACTTAAAATATTTAAATTCGTCCTTTAAAAATCTATTATTATTGTAATATGCTAAGTTCCATTTAAAGCTTTTAAATTGAGAAGGTTTTCTACATGTGGTAGGCAGATACGTTGGTTGTGATCGAACTGATAACAAATTTTTTATCGATTTGTTATTAGTTTTCTTCTTATAGGGTTCTAAAAATTGTTAACTACTAATACTTAAATAATTTAATTGTAATTAAATTAATGATGTATTACTCACGAAATAGCAGCTTAACGCTGCTGTGTTTCGTACGGTGAGTGTAGAGAACCGGAGACCCTTTTTACTGGAAAAGAGGCATTCCATCTTAGTCCTCACGGTTGACATAGCATCTGCATTTTGATTCTTTATGGGGATAGATGTGGAAGTCTATGGGTCACAGCAACCACTTAACATCAGGTGGACTGTGCTCGTTTGTCATCTTATCCTATATTTTTTTAGATAGAACAGGTATTAATAGTTTAACTATTTTCTTTTTAAGTTTTTTCAAACGACTTCAAAAAAGGAGGGGGCTCTCAGTTCGTCGAAATCTTTTTTTTATGTATGTTCACCAATTACTCGAAAACGATTGAACCAATTAGGAAAATTCTTTTATTGTTTCTAAGGGTATACTTCCCAGGTGGTTCCTTTTAAATTTTGTCGAAATCAGTCGAGGGGGTTTTTAAAAAATCAACAATAAATTATATCTTACATGGTAGAGCCATGCTGCAGCTATATTAGTAGTATAGTTGTAGCGCGAATGGGTCGGCTCGACCGCGGAAGGACCACGCTCTCACAGAATACCAAAGTAAAATAGCAGCTTAATGCTGCTGTGTTTCGTAAGGTGAGTGTAGAGAACCGGAGACCCTTTTACTGGAAATGAGGCATTCCATCTCAGTCCTCACGCATGACTACGCATCTGCTATTTGATTTGTGATAGAGGATAGATGTAGATGTCTATGGGCCGCAGCAACTTACCATCAGGTGGACTGTGTGCTCGTTTGTCACCCTACTTCTATAAAAAAGATATTACCACCCCCTGATTATTGTATATGATTATGTGTTTCAGTTTAAAAGATAAGGCAGCCAATATTGTAGACTGTAGAGTTATCAACATTAGTCCTTACGAAGCGCATCTGTAGCTTTTTTTAAAGTTTGCGTTGTGTTCTAGGCTGCATGTTGCTGTTAGGTGGACTACTAGCTTTTAACATTAGTTACTCTAATATTTGTTATTTCGAACCAATGTTTTGATGTACTGAGTGGTAAATGAAATAAAATAAATGACATGGCAAGTGTGATGCAATTATCAATACTCAATATATAATAGTTGTAGTTAATGATTTCTTATATTTACGCGAAGACTACACATTAAATGAAACTAATTTTTACGGATTTCTTAAATTAAACGCGATAAAATCCGTAAAAATTAGTTTCATTTAATGAATAGTCTAATTTTTTTTTCTATTTCAGTAAATTTATTTCTGCAGTTGAGTTTTTTTTAAATCCTGTCTTAACATATAAGCTTATTGTTTATGGTTAGTTAGTTGTGTTCGAAGTACTACACGGTTCTGCAAATAGTACTTTAAAACATAACGAGTGACAGGCTAGCAAACTGTCCACCACCACCTAATTTATGCCTGCCTTTTTATGTCCATTATCTATCACATTCACTGCTGATCATATGCCTCCCCCATAGCTTGCGCGAAAAGAGAGATTTTGGTAATTTTGCCACTGTTGGCAACCGCAGGGTTTTTATTGGGTTATTATCAAGTACATGCTGCTGCTCAACGCCTGTTTCAATTTCCCTCTGTCGCCTCTTACGACACCCACGGGACGGTATGAGGTAGAGGACGTTCTTACACGCCACTACACGGTCTCCTTACGTAATTACCTTTATATTATGTAAGTAAAAGTATTAAATTTGACTTCTTTTTTGTTTCAGAACGTCTCCAACATCGCTTGCTGTTTCAGCGCGCAGTGATGTTGTAAGTATAGATTTTCTATTTTCACGTAGTGTAATTATTGAAGTACCCGTTAAATGAATGATGCAGTCTTTGAACTTGTCTGGTGAATGATACGGTGCGAGGAATGATATGTTTATATATACACCATAACATTAAAAAGATTTTGAAAAATTTTGTTGAAAGAAATGTATCCGTTGCAGTAGCCACTTACCATCAGATCGTTTATCGTTGAAATAACAATTATTTTGTTTTATATCTATAATAGTCTATACATATATAGATAAAATCGAAGTGTCTGTCTATAATATTGAAATAACTGGCTTCTATTAAGCTTTTTCAGTCCAATGTGAAAATGTAAAACTATATTATAAAAACTGCAGTAATTAATATTTTTTTAGTAACCACAAATTTCTTTCTTGATTATTACAAGTGGTAAAATTAAAAATTATATACAATCGACTTCAATATAAATAAAATAGGAACATCATTAATGTAGTCAAAGTCAATTAAATAGTTACGCATTATTAAGTTAAACTCAAAAACTACTGGTCAGATCTTGATCAAATTTGTATGGGACCACATGAGAATTACCAGTTTAAAAAAAGAATCGTGTAAATCACCTAGAAAAAGTTTTGAGCTAACACATTAAACAAATTATTATTACACATTATTATTAAGTTAATAATCTTACTTCGCCTATAAAGATAATTGGCTAGGTGAAATACTTAATGTCAATGCATTTTTAAATTCTATACAACTAAGATTTTCCTCATCGGAATTATCCTATGATCCAAAAGCAACACGTTTAACATTTTTTGAATGCATTATTATAATAATAATATGTCACCTATGCGAGGAGGAGATGGGTAAAATTAGTTTAATGATGAGAGATGATCTATCACGCCGCTATTGCACGGCTGAAGTCTATGAGAGACTTACCTCTAGTTATGGATCAACTTGGTTAAGATTGACTGCCTTATTCTTCTAGTGGTACTAAGTGCGACTGCCGATTCGAGATAGATGATAGATGTCTATAGGCCTCAACATCCATTTACCATCAGGTGGACTGTGAGCTCGTTTCCCACCCTTATTCTATATAAAAAAATAAATGTTATGATAAGTGAGTTGATGAGTGGTGTTGTTGCAGGTGTCTGGAGCGTCGTACGCGCCTCACCAGCACTCGCTGCTGCAGCACTTCGCGCTGCCCGCGCACGCCGCGCTGCCCGCACACCCCGCGCTGCCCGCACACCCCGCGCTGCCCGCACACCCCGCGCTGCCCGCACACCCCGCGCTGCCCGCACACCCCGCGCTGCCCGCACACCCCGCGCTGCCCGCACACCCCGCCCTGCCGCCGCACTCGGCGCTGCTGGCGCACAGAGGTCAGTACACGATAAGTACCCGCGCACACGTACCCACGTACACCTATGAACGTAGTCCTTCACGGTACAGTAGCTTAGCAATCAATTACAACGCTAACGGTCGTGAGTTTGAATCCCGCACCGACTCTGGTTGTTTGTCCTTGTGCAATTTATGTATGTAAACTGCCCTCTCGATACAGGAGAAAATCCTAGTGTGGAGATAACTATTTTTTGAAATAGTCTACAACATGAAATCAATCGTGCTTTAATTAAATAGTTTTTTATTTGAAACTACCGGTCCGCCCCGGCTTTGCACAGATAATTTCTGAATCCCGACAACAGCGCCACCTGCCGAGTCCAATTTTGAATCTAAATTATCCAAAGCCCTAATCAAACGCACATACAATCATTTATTTAAATGCCCTTTTAGAATAAATTGTAATAAATCACTAATATCATAACCTTTTATTAATATAACAAGTTGCGGCAATTTATTTTTATTTATAAAGATTATCTATCAGTTGAATAAGACACATAATGTTTCCTTCCAGGTGTGGGCCGCTGCAGCAGCAGCTCTGAGTCCGTGTCCAGCCATAGCGCGTCGCCGCCTCCGCCCAGGTTCACGTAAGTACTACTGCACTTATTCCCCATAAAAACAATCATTTTATTTTAGATGTAGTTTCCGCAATAAAATATTGTCGTGCGCCCAGCGAAGCGAGCGGGTATCAGCTAGTTACAATATAATTTCTTCATGCCAATAAACATCATTTTATTTGTATAGCCACTGCACTGTTTGCTATATTATTTTATTTAAACTAAATATAAACCACCATGTTAAAATTGTGTAACAATTTCTTACACATTTTTGACACTTACATTATTTCATCTAAAGTTTATAATATTTCTTACACTAAACTTTTTTGTGAAGAAGATAGTTTTAATATCGTTCCCTGATAGTGTGCAACGACTCAGTCTGATCTTAATTCTATACTCTATATATAAATATAGCTCTTGATATTATTCCTGGTTATACTCAAAAGCGTTGTTCTATTCCAGGCGCGTGCGCACACTATACGCTTGTCTGGGTGAGAGTGAAGGCGAACTCTCGTTCGAGCCCAATCAAATCATCACGAACGTGGCTCCCTCTGGTGAACCGGGCTGGCTTCGAGGACAGCTGGATGGCCGCTGCGGCCTAGTGCCTGAGAACTACGTGGAGCCGCTACCTTAGCAGCCCTAGTCAGCAAATAAGCGACTTAGTACAGTTGTCCTCCAAGCCGGATGGATTTAAAACTAGCGAAAACCCCCGTCCGCTCGCTGGATTAAAGTGACTTAGACCGATAGTCATTCGAGCCGGATGACCTCTAAAGACCTCGAGAACCCCTGTTAGCTAGCATGGCTGCATTAAAGTGACTTAGACGAATGGTCGTCCGAGCCGGATGGACTCTGTAGCTATTGAGAACCCACGTCAGCTAGCTTGGCTGCGTTATCTAGGCTGAAATTCAGCCGGCTAAGCGAGAAATACTAGCTGAAACAAATTTGCTTAATTGGCTGAATCGTGATGATTAAAATAAAGTCGTCGAGTACATGTACTGACATCGAATTGGTCCTCCGAGCCATATAGTCATAGCACCGGCCATAAGTGCAGCCGGACTAGGCCGTATTAAGGTCTGCCACGCCAAGCTGTAAGCTGCACCTAACTAAAACGTGTACTATCAATAATGCTTTCTAATTGCAACCCACAACGGCGCAAATTTGAATTGTATGCGTACGCCATAAGGTCCATTTTACAACTGCGTGCGGACCGAACCATATCGTTAGTGCTACGTTGTTAACTTTTTGTATTTGTATATTTTGTACATTGTATATAAGAGTTGTTGATATTTTAACTATTTATATTGCCCTATACGTACGTTGTGAATTTTGTACCAAATATTTTAGATTGTACGTGCGTCCACGCCGCGTGACATATTTGTATTATACGATAATATATAACTTAGTACTAATGACTATAACCTGGTTTTATTTTACACCTTTTTAAGTGTCACGCATTTTACCATATTTTTGAGGATTTATCAGCGTGACCTCTATGTATGTATTTATGTACAGGGTTATTTTTCAGAGTAGCCAAATTTTAAGCCGAACGTCCACCGCAAACTGGCATAGCTAAGCTAGGTAAAATAGACAAACTAAATCAAACTAACTTAGTTGTGTATATGTAGGCTGAACCGAAATTACGCGAGCTAAGCCAGAGAATACCTTTGAACTAAGCAAAGCGCCTCTCACCCCCTTACTTTACCCCTCTGGTGCATTTGGCTTTGTGTTGCTCAGCGTTCAGAACCGTACATAATTATCGTACACATACGATCACTTCGTGCGTACGTAAGATGTATGATAGCACATTATTGTTGTACGCAGATTGTACGATAATTTCCATCATGATGCAAAATTTGATAGTTTATTTTATGTTACTTTACTAGTAACTAACCCTCGAATAATTTTACTTTTTGGTCTTACTCTCAGATAACTTCGTTTTGCGTTTTTTCAACACAAACGTAGAGTAGCTAATACTGGGTATTGTTACTCTAGAGTTGGTAAATGAATAATGTATGAACATGTAAGCCAACTAAAATCGATATACAATTGTTCATATAGCGCAATACAATATTTTCTGTCCACTTATATTTTGCCGGATTATAATACTTCATTACTGTTTGCTGATGATCTAAAATTAGTTTTATAAATTAGAAATAAATATGATTGTGACTCTTTACAGCATGATATTGATAAAGTTTTAGAATGGAGCATAGATAATAAACTTTTTTTAATGTCTCTAAATGCTCAGTGCTGTCCTTTTGCCGCTCACACGCCCCAATTCATCACCCATACATGATGGACGGGAAGATGCTTCATAGAGTAACGGAGGTTAGAGATCTAGGTGTACATTTCACTGCAGAATTAAACTTTTGATTATATGTAAGTAATGTTTGTATAAAGGCATACCGTAATCTCGGATTGATAATGCGCCTTGCAAATAATTTCACTAATGTCGGGGCTCTGAGAGCGCTATATGATGCACTCGCAATGAGCCACTTAGAGTGTAACGCCGTCATTTGGGCTCCTCATGAAGCCAAATACAAATATATGTTAGAGCGGATCCAAAATAAATTTATTAGATTCTTATACTTAAAGCAATTCGGAGTGTACCCGGGATATCCCTTGTTGTATCCTACTCTATTTTTACTCGGTATGGTAGGGTACTACAAGCTCGAAGTCAGTCTCGCTGTGTACGTGTTGAAGGTGATCAGGGGTAGGATACACTATGCGAGAGTGTTGGAGATGGTGCGACTGAATGCGCCTGACGGAAGCGCGAGGCGTCGGCAGCGGCCGTCGTTACTGGCAGTGCCACGCGCGCGCACTGCACTGATGCAGCAAGCACCGTTCACGCGCGCGCTGCGTGTGATCAACACCATGTCGGAGCGAATTGATTTATTTTCATGTTCGCTGAGTGAGCTCAATAAAATGGCATATCATACTGTATCGTGTACTCACCCTGTAATGATTGTGTATGTTGTATGTGTGTGTGTAAATAAATAAATAAATAGTATCAACTTGTCACTCTGTTTAGGTTTCTACCGTGCGAAAAACATTTGTTCTGCTGATTTGAAAGCGGTCCCATAAAAGAGATAAACAGCTATGTATTTAAATGCCCTATGTATTTGCATATATACCAATATTACGTTTTATATGATTTATTTGTTTATGATAGACATTACTTTGATAAGTACGATAATTTCGATCCATGTACGATAATTCTACACCCCTGTAACGATAGTCAGCTCGCTTCAAGTTGCTAACGCTGGTGTTGCTTGTGTTGTTTAGTGTGTGATTATGCGTAGGCAGTGAAACACGTATTTGTTGCATGGAGCTATTTATTGAATACGTCAAACATATCCTTTATTGTATAATCCGGAGATAAAATACTATTTGCGTTTTTTCTTTATTAAATGAGCAATAATCAGTCTTATTTCCCTATGACGAATGTAATCCTCCTCTCGTCATAGCTCTTCTCTTGTTCTTCCATCACATCCGATGAACTCAACACACCGGCACAAACTGAACATCACTAACGTAGTTTTAGCTTATTTTTCGGTGGACATGCAATGATTTTCTAGGTTATCTTAGTTCACTGAGCCTAGTTTTCACATAGTTTAGTTCGCGGTGGACGTTCGGCTTTAAACTTAAGTTTAAATATACTGGGTTATTTTGCAATAGCCGGCCATATCATATCATAACGGTATATCATTATTTACATATTTGAACTTTAGTTTGGAATTGGGCTGGTCTTTGAATAATAGGCCTGTATAAATAATGATATACCGTTATTGCAGTTTTTGAAAATACGAGTAAATAAGGCTTCTACTTTTATTTGAAATTATTCCAAATTGAATGTGATTTATGGGCAACAACGTTTTTGCCTACCGGTCGACCATTACGAATGTGTGCGTGCGCAGTAAAATGCACAGAGCAAATACAAAGACGAGACGGCCTAAGCAGTTGTGCACTGTGATTCTAACTAGGCCCTGACGTCATCACAGTGGGCGTGACTTTACTTAGTATACTGTCAGCGTTCGTCCTGTGCGCTTAGGTGTCGAAAATCGCAAATCGGTTTATTTTCGTAGTATTAAAAAAAAAGGATGAAGTTGTTTTACCGTGTAAAACTACTCAAATAGACTCTCTGATGCTATGGGTGGCATCACATTTCATTTGTAAGTAATTATATACCTAATTTATTAAAAAGGTTCTAGAAAAATCTCTGCGTCGGCTTTCAAATGTAATTAAATATATTCGATACTAGATGGTGACACTTTGTGTCATGGGAACTAAAAATATAAAGGTACGTAGAGCTTAGTATTGGTAAAATAACCATACGAAGTTGTTGCAATTTGTTTTGTATTCAGTGCTAAAGAATTTTTAATCGCCAAAATATTATTTTTATAGTTTTTATAATCATTTTGTGAACAGGCCGCCATCTATCGTCAAGGTAGCTAAACTACATTGCAGCATCGATATGGAACGATGCGAGTAGTTTTACTCTTTATCGGTAGATGGAAAATAGTAAAGTGGGCGGGGCTTAACATCCCCTCATCCCGAAAATTGTCATGCGTTGTTACATAGTGAAATCTAATTACAATACCTCCTCTTTGTATTTGCTCCGTGGTAAAATCAGTTAAAATACTGCATTATCACGTTTTGAATTTAAAAGATAAAAAGGACAGAATGTTCGAGATCTTTTTTAATTAATATTTCTTCACCATTTGCCTATGTTACATAATTTGAAACTTATCTGCCAATTTGGCCAGTTATTGCAAAATAACCCTGAACCTGAATAGCCGATGACAATAGAATAATGTCATGACTATGACGTATTAACATAAGGATTATCACAGATCATTCCTTGTTTTGATTTTTTAAACTAACTTTATGTAATCATCAGCCCGTAAGAATCGCTGGAGGACCTACCGTTGTTAGTCTTAAGATGAACATGGACAAAACAAAAATCATGTTTAACGTCCAAGTCACACCTATGCCGGTAGTTGTTGGGAGCACTAAGCTCTAAGTTGTTGACAAGTATTGTACACGCCCTGAGCTGCCCCAACCAAGGTAGACTGGACTAGGGCCCATCAGTAGTCCTATCGACAGGCAGCAGAGGACGGGGCCCAACGGCCTATAGACAATTGACCTACACAATAGAGATAAGGCTACGTAAATAAATAGTACGTACCTGGTTCCGAAGCTAAGACCGCCCCAAGGCTCGGTCAGGCCGTAGGTAGGTGTAGGTGCATGTAAGTAGTGTATGGTAGTGTGTATGATATTTGACCTGACTTAACCGTTGAAGTCGGACTGCAGATCCAGTGTTGCTTCTCTCCAAAGGTGGTAGTTCACTTTATCCGACCTCAAGTCTGACGTCACTTCACTATTTCAGTTTATCAACTTTATTGTGCATTTAATTATCTTCAAACTCAACTAAATCCCCGTTAATCGTAATCAAAAAGGTAACACACGGCACGACTATTAAACGGTGGATCAAAGTTCACTTCCGTTTCACATAGCAACAAGATTATAACCACGAACAAGAACGCGATCTCTTCTCGAGTCACAAAGTTCAGCGTTACGACCGACAAACTAAATTCAATTAAACATTAACTTCCAAACAATTAAGCGACCCGGCGTCTATTTTCTAGACTCCACAAACTCCTCGTCGTTGCATAAATTTGCTAACAAAACCGACACTAATTAGAGGTTATACGGGACGACCTCACGCCGTGCTAGTCTCAAGCTACTGCAAATTAGACAAACTAATCCGAGGCGGTCTTCACGAAACCATAAATTCAATAGCAAATTAAACGCACACAAATACTTAAAATCTAGACCAAAACCAAAACTGGTCGCGCGAAACCGCTGCAGCGGTCACTACCAAATACGTTAACCGACCGCGCCGCTGCTCTCAAGCCACTGTTCTCGCCCACGAACGCCGAACGCCGGGAAGCTGCATACCGATGCCCCTCCCCCCGGCGACCGCACGTCACCTCACCCCATCGGGCGACTCGCTTAGTGAAACGCGATTGGATGGCGTTTCAAATGACCATGTTTGGGCCTAAACAAGTATGTTTACCTGGGACCATTAGTCCGACTAGGTAAGTCCAATTTCGACCAAGAGGTCAATCGACGGATTCAGCTCGACTGGGCAGCGTTCGGGAGATTACGACACATTCCGTCAGGCATATCTCAAAACTAGATTGTACACAACGAGTGCGTGTTGCCAGTGATGACCTATTGATCTGAGACTTGGTCCTTCACTGCTAACCGTATGTGGAAGCTCAAAGTCACTCAGCGAGCTATGCAGAGAGCTATGCTCGGCGTTTCTCTGCGTGATAGACTTAAAAACGCGGATATCCGCAGTAGAACCAGAGTAACCGACATAGCCCAACGGATTAGTAAGCTGAAGTGGCAGTGGGCCGGCCATATAGCTCGAAGAACCGACAACCGATGGGGAAGAAAGGTTCTCGAGTGGCACCCTCGTACCGGTAGGCAAAGTGTAGGGCGTCCCCCCACGAGATGGAGTGACGACCTGGTAAGACATGCAGGAAGTCGATGGATGCAGGTGGCTCAGGACCGTGCTTTGTGGCATTCTTTGGGGGAGGCCTATGTTCAGCAGTGGACTTGTGAAGGGCTGTAATGATGAATGATGAAATTCACGTCTAAAGATATACCTTTCGTAGGAAATATTTTCTACATATTCTTTCTTATAGAATAAGGGTGACAAACGAGGACATAGTCCACCTGATGGTAAGTGGTTGTGTGGTGGATTTTGCAGCTGAATGTTAAACTCGAAGGCCTCTCCCAGTCACCCAGTGACTGTCATAGCACGGTCATGCGCCTAAACTTACTACAACAATCAGACTATTGCTGCTTCTCAAACTGAATACTTGTCTTTTCCTCCGACCACGACTGAATCCAATAGGAGGGTAAATTTTTTGATGTATGTAGATACATCCGTTTCTATGACCGCCCGTAGCTTCTGAACTAGTTATCAGATTTTGCCAAATAAATTAATGAATGAATGATTCATTCGTCACATAGAATACAATGCACAAAAAGCAAACGAGCCTTACAGTAGTCGCATATGATGTGTAACATCTGACGTCTCACCTTGGTAATAAGCAACATTAATATTATATCCTGAAAAAAGCTATTTTTTTAATTAAAATATCAATTGAGCAGCGACAGAACTTAACTTCTAAATTTATAAAAGCTAAATTCTAAAATATTTATTCAAGTAATTATTCATAAATACTCACTGGCATTTTTTATCAATGAAGTGCACCTTTTTCAGACACATATCAACAGCCAATACACTTATTAATATAGTTTACAAACATAAATTAGTTTATATAACACTACGTGGTTTTCTTACGTGGTAGAGCCATGCTGTAGCTATATTAGTAGTATAGTTGTAGCGCGAATGGGTCGGCTCGACCGGGGAAGGACCACGCTCTCACAGAATACCAGCGTAAAATAGCAGCTTAACACTGCTGTGTTTCGTATGGTGAGTGTAGAGAACCGGAGACCCGTTTTACTGGAAAAGAGGCGTTCCATCTTAGTCTATACGGGTGACAACTCCTCTGCATTTTGATTCACAAACGAGGATAGATGTAAATGTCTATGGGCTACAGCAACCACTTACCATCAGGTGGACTGTGTGCTCGTTTGTCGCCCTATCCTATAAAAAAACTACACTTTACTATCACCGCGCGCGCTCATTGGTCAAATCAAATAGCGCGCGCTTCTCCGGCTTTCTGGTACACACTTCCGTCCCTTTTACGAAATCACTTTGTTTTTTTTTTATAGAATTAAGGTGACAAACGAGAACACAGTCCACCTGATGGTAAGTGGATGCTGTGGCCCATAGACATCTACATCTATCTTCGATTTAGAATCAAGATGCAGATGCTTTGTCACTCATGAGAACTAAGATTAAATGCCTCATTTGCAGTAAAAAGAGTCTCCGGACTCTCACCATACGAAATGCAGTAGCATTGAGGTGCTATTTTACGTTGGTATTCTGTGAGAGCGTGGTCCTTCCGATGTCGAACCGACCCATTCGTGTTACAGCCTTATACATATATCTTCTCATCACGAGAGTACACAGCCATCTCACATATGGCCCTTCACTACTCCTGTCGAATGGCGAGGCTTAAAGTTGCAATGGTCAAGGTTCCAAAGCGCTAGAGATCTCTATGCTCGTATTCTTTGCTTGATAAATTTCGTAATTAGGATATCCGTAGTGGAACCGAAATAATCGGCTTTTATGCTAGGCGATTATTTCGGTTCTACTACGGATCAGCCATGAGGCCAAATTTCTTTGTCCATTTCTTTTATGAATTTTCATCATCAATCAACAGCGTAGCCTTTCGGTAATCAGCAAGATGCAAGTAGGTTAACTTTAACGCTTATTTATTTATCACTTCTTAATATACTACCTTGATTGGAATCATTTAACATTATTAAAACGAAAACACCTTTGTTCATGACAATTTTTGTGGTTAGAAGAAAGGACCAGCCATAATTGCGGCGCTTGGAAGACTGATTGACTCGCAGTGCCAGACGTCTCGTACCTTTGAGACAACGCCCCGTCGCCGATTTCATTTTCGGAGGCAGACCTTCTTCGCTTTTCCTAAAGTCGCATCTTACAACACATACGAGACAAAATTTTGTGTTTTTTAGGAACGACAGCACATTTGCATTATAATTCTTGATCGAGGATAAATCTATGGATGACAGTATTCACTTACCTATCAGTTAGAACGTGCTTATTTGATACATGTTATTGCATACCATTTAAACTCAAGAACTCTTCGGGCAAAATCCACAACTATTTTTTTAATAACTGGCTTTACGGCTCTGGGTTCTAGCATTTCTGAGCCTGAAGTTACAATGTATAATTAGCCTCCATAGTACACTGCTTCACAATATGTTGATGCGTCACATTGTGCAGCCCTTGGGATATTTTGACGGTAACTTGAGCCAGCAGATAGCTGGCTATGGTATCTCAAGGCGCCTAAGCACCTAAGCAGACAGACATCTTATCTTGAGAATCACATCACCATTAGAGCACTTGTCACGTGTCACCGTTTCCACTAATAGTTCACATGCGCAGATATTTAATACACAAAATCGCACCACTTTTACATATCAAAGTCCACTTCAAACCATTATTTAAACAAAAATACAGGAGGAGCAATCCGTCGCCGGTCAAGTTCCCGCCAAAAACCCCAATCCACAACTAAAATGTTCATGTACACAGGTGAGTTTTTGATAAGAGATGATTTTTTTGCAAATTCGTTAATATCAATAGTGCTGTACTAAGATCTAAAATATTGTCGAGCATTCATAGGCAATGATCGAGAATACATTTTAATTATTTTAAGAGCTATAAGAGACTCGTGCAGGTTGTAGTACTGTCTTATTAATCAAGATTTAGGTTTCAGATATTAACAAAAATAAAGCAAAATTCTTGATTTTCATTTTATTCAATCCCAATCCATTACAATAAGCGAGAAGGAACTACGTCTGAAGTTCCAGTCGCATCGCAAGGCCGACGGACTTGGCGCCCACAGTCTCGTTTGAAAAGGGGTTGAATCGATTTTTGCGATGTGACTGATCCGTACAGGTAACAACTACAACGTAAACATTAAACATTTATATGCAAGTAACATTATAAGCCACTTTATTATTTCACGAATATTTATCGGCACCAAAGTAACGTAAGCACATGTACACATCAGTTTCGATTTAAAACATTTCATCTTAAATATAATCTGTAGGACTGTATATATCACATCTCATTCTCGAGCAAGAAACGAAGCTTCACGTAGATCGAGGTTCTTCGGCGTGCTCGGGATTCGTCGCGTCTCGGTCGGGGACGTGCGTTTGTTCCGGAAAAAGCGAGTTTCCTTCGTCTCCGTCAAGTTAAATACGATGTCTGTCGGCGCGCAGGAGCAGTTTTCTCAGAGTGAGGCTCGATCGAGCTCCGGCGGTCGGGGGGTATTAGCTGCGATCGAGTGTTGCTTCGTCGTCATCGCGTTCGAGCAGACGGCGTACGCGGCTGCAGTCTGCCAGCGCTGGACGTGCGGCCAGCGGACCCCCCGCACCCCCAGCCGGCCCCGCCGCACTCCCCACCGGGCCGCTGGCACCCCCCGCACCCCCCGCGCCCCCCGAGGCCCGCGAGACGTCGCGCGCGCCCGCCAGCCGCTCCAGCTTGCGCGCCTCTGCCGTGCGCACGATGCACATGAGCGCCGCGTATTTGTCTTGTAGTGCGCGCTGTCTCGCTGCATGCTCGTCGGCAGCGTGACGCAGCGCTCGCTTCAGCTCCGCAGCGGCAGCATCGCGCGCGCTCAACGCCGCTTCTAATTCATGTGCACGAGCCGTCGCTGCATCCGCCCGTGACACGCTCGCTTCTACTTCAGCTTCGGCGCGTGCTAAAGCTGCTTTCAGCGCTCGCTCTTCTGCAACTCGACGCTCGGCTAAAGCGCCACCCGATTCGGTCGCTGCGGCAGCGCGTGCGGCGTCTGCTAGACGAGTTTCGCGTTCGGCGAGCATAAGCAACTCTCGGCGTAGGCGTCGAACGTGTTCGGCGCGCCGCTCGGCGGCTAACGCAGCTCGCGCCAACGCCTCCACGTGCCGCGACGCTTCAAACGACTCCCCTCGCGTCCTCTGCAGCTCTGCTTCATCTAGCGCGCGCTGCGCTTCCGCCTCTCGCAGTGCAGCTTCCGCTCGTAACCGCGCGGCGCTCTCCTCGGCGAGCGCAGCCTCCAGTTTGGCCTCGCGCTCGCTGGCGGCGACCGCTACAACTGGGGCGGGCGTCTCTCGCGCCAGCCTCGCGCGTAGCTCATCCCGCTCGAGCTGCGCGACGCGTAGTCTCTCACGTAAGGCGGCGTTCTGCAACTCCAGCGCGCGCGCCTGCCGACAACGACCCAGTAACCGGCGGTTGCGCTCAGCGTGCGCTTCTCGTCTCCACCGCTCGTATAGTAACTGGGCGTGTGCAAGTGCGAGTTGCTCACTCAGTTCGTTTTCGCCACGAGGCGTTTTTCCTGAATACAGCTCCGTCAAATACTTGTCAAGGCGTTCGCAGGGAGACACGTGATCGCTCGTCTTCTCAGTTTCGACGATTGACTGAAAAGTAAAATAAAATAGTGAATAATAAGACCTTAGAGTAACTACACAACGTTTGCATAGAAAGAACCTAAAATTCTACATAAATTGAATCTTGTATCGCTTTTTCTAATTTAATGTTCAAATAAGGCAAAAAGAGGTAAATCTATTGAAAGATGTTGCATGTATGTAATACATACGTGGAAATATAAATGTCAATTGGTCATCTTTGGTATCTTTATACTATGCCAAATATTATAGTAAGTACATTCGTATGTTCTGATTTACTAGAAAAATGACATCCCTATTGCGGTAGTATTATATGTGACGTTACTTTAAAAGACATGACGTCTTTAATCTATAGTGATTTCGTTCACAATGTTAGTAACAATCGACATCGATATACTCGTTTTTGTTTAGTTATTTATTTTTATTATTTTATCATAGGTCTAAAAATATAAAGAAAATAGGACTAGACTTATTATTATTCGAACTATCAAGTAAATTGTTTTCTAAGTAAAGTGATGATTATTATATTACATTACAAGTATTCGTTTCGCCAACTTTAAAAACTAATAAAGTAAGTAAACTTAGGTTAGTTTTAAAAGTTTGCGATATGTAGTTAGGTTTGTAATCCCAATTTTATATACGTTTACTAACGACCCGCCCCGGCTTCACACGACTGTTTACTAGATACGAGATTACGGGTCAAATTGTGAGTGTGAATATTCATCAAAATCGGTCCAGCCATTCTCAAGTAATTTTTCATACAGGTGCCAATTAATTTTAGTTTATATAGATTTACCAATAGAGTGAATGAGGCTCTACACTCTATTGTGGGAAGTCAGAATGTGTCCATAAAGGCACATATGGCAATTCACAATGCTGTCATCATCATCATCATTACAGCCCTTCACAAGTCCACTGCTGAACATAGGCCTCCCTCAAGGAATGCCACAAAGCACGGTCCTGAGTCACCTGCATCCATCGACTTCCTGCATATCTTACCAGGTCGTCACTCCATATAGTGGGGAGACGCCCTACACTTCACCTGCAGGTACGAGGCTGCCACTCGATAACCTTTTTTCTCCATTGGTTGTCGGTTCTTCGAGCTATATGGCCGGCCCATTGCCACTTCAGCTTACTAACCCGTTGGGCTATGTCGGTCACTCTGGTTTTACTGCGGATATCCTCATTTCTAAGTTTATCACACAAAGAAACTCCGAGCATAGCCCTCTCCATAGCACAGTTTCCACGAGCTTGTCATTCATATCGTCCACTATATTGCAATCTTCTAGGAAATGAAAACGGTTTCGTAGCTCGAGCTGAAAGGTTTCGGGACTTTGGATTAGAGCACGAGGTGGACGGAGCGTTGACTTCATTAGTCGTGACATCCAACTTAACGTTTAGGTTCAATGTGCATCTCACCATTCGGTGATCGCTGCCGGTTTTCACCCTCACGATCACTGAGACATCACTGAACAGAGTGTGTCAGGATCTTGCTATAGTCCATAGTCTCTGCCTACCCGTCTGGGTGACAGGCGTGAATGTTTGTATATATATATATATATATGTATTTACCACTTGCTTAGCGGAAAACCATCGACTATATTCAACAAAGCTTTAATTCTGCTTGGATGAAAATATTTCGAAATCATGACGTTAAGGCAGGATCTTGATAATGTTGTGTAACGGCGACGTAAAAGAATCCACTACCTGCTACTAATTAATATATCATACTTATTATTATTTGGAAGCCCTAATACCCCTTACCATACCGTGAGTATCGTAAAAGACGACTGGGGAAAATCAAACAAGAGAAAGGCACCAGTATCTTCCTGATAAAAATCCAAAATAATAAAAAATTGCGGTTGCCAACCCACTTGCTAAAAGTGATACCTATGGCAAATATACCCTCTGCGTTGAACAGTGAACTTTAGATAGGCTTTAAATAATGAATGAATGATGGATAATACCTTGAGGGAGCAGAGGAAAACGAGTAATACGTTCGTAATCGATTTATTGATAAGTTGTAATCTAGCGACAAAAGAGAAGGCAGACCGCGGTCATGCCGCTGTTCTTGTACTATTGTAGCAGTGCCCTCTGAGTACGTTCCGCGAATCAAACCCAGTGTCGATTAAAAAAACACAGTTATTATATGTGAAACCAATAACAATTTTATGTTTAATTATGACCCATAATAAGTTTTTTTTTCCTTTATTCAAAATATTTAAAAAAATGATTTTTTTAGCCCTACAGCAGAAACCACACACGGTTTAGTTGCTGTGGTCTATTAACTGTAAATTATTATCTTATACTAAAAACTATTATAGATAATAATGGTAGATTTATATATTTATTAAGTAATCACTAAGTATATTATTAATATTGACGGCTCCGTGGCGCAGTGGCTTAGCATTCAGTTGTTGCGCTGGGGGCCGCGGGTTCGAATCCCGCACGGAACAAGTATTTGTATGGTCTACAAATAATTGTTCCGGGTCTGGAAGTTTGTCCTTGTGCAATTTATGTTTGTAAACTGCCTCCACGACACAGGAGAAAATCCTAGTGTGGGGGTAAAGTTTTTTAAAATATAAAAAAAAATGTAAATTTGAGATAAATCAAGGTATAAACACATTAGATCAGGCTATTTACAGTAATTATGTTATCATTTAAGATACTATTAATATATTATACTAATTTATAATAATACAAATACACATACCATACCGACCATCTAGTTATTTAATTAGAAACTCTTTTAGTGTTCTTTTAGCTATTTTTACTTTATAATATTTTACTTTATTTAAGATAATGAGAGGAAGTTCGTTGAGTAAAGAGGGGAGCAGGTATTCCCACGTGCGCTTACCATAAATATTTTTGTAAGTTGGAAGCTTAAATGTCGGTAACCTATTCAACTTACGTAGGGTTACAGGTCTACTATATTTTTTTAATTTACTCAACTGTTCCCACTCTTCACATAGGACTGCCAATTTAATTTCTTCATATACATTTAACGTTTTACAATATTTAAATAACTTTCAATCATCATGTCTGTATAGTAGCTTAACATAGTTAGGAACTATTGCTTTTAAGATTTTTAGTTGTATTTTATAAATTTCTTGTATATAAGTTTTAAATGTTCTACCATAGCTACTCAGTCCATAGTTTATATTTGAACTTGCTAATGCCAAATATAAAAGTCTCAACGTTTGGTAAGGAATTTTATGCTTAAGTATTGTTAAATTACAAAGTATTGCTCTTAGTTTGTTACAAATGTGAATAAGTAAGGTAATAGGTTAAACTTGAAACAAAGTATAAAGTAATTATATACTTTGTTACCGCCACTTCTCAAATTAAAATATTCCGCATTTTGGTTAATCTTATTGACGAATCAGATTTCCTCTATAATACCATTCATTCATTCCATTCATTCCTTCTTGCGACCGACAACCGGGTAGAAGAAGAAGTCTAAGAAAAAACACGCCCGCACTCGGAAGCATATTGTGTCACGCTCGCTACTCGCATATCTATTTAATTATCATACGCTAAAATCACGGCCGTGAATTGTATAAAATAAGTGTAAATCGCGCAAGAAAACTAGGAGTGTACCACGCGAGTGTCAACCTCAAGTAAGAAGAGAAGCTGACGGCGTTCTCCAGGTGCGTTCCTTCAGTTTTATGTATCGGTTGCAAATTTTAACGAAATCCAATTCCAACTACCTATTACAGTCCACTTTATCCCAATTTTGAACCACGCGTCACCAACGCTTCTCTCAAGTTCAAAAAATTGTTCAAAAAATCCCAAGCCATGTCTAAGGATAATTTGGCGGAAATATACACGATGAATTTAAGTACATTTGTACGCAGTAGATTTGTACATGCTGCAGCTATGTTAGTAGTATAGTTGTAGCACTAATGTGTCGACCGGAGAAGAACCACGCTCTTACAGAATTCCGCCTCTCATTCAGGACTGGAATAGTGCCTTGGTAAATTTTGGAAGCTGGCCAATGTGCAGCCTGTCCCTAAAAAAGGTAGCCGTACCGACCCTGCCAACTATCGGCCTATTTCAATTACCTCCATACTCTGCAAGATTATGGAGCGTATATTGAACGCCCACCTCATGGCATACCTAGAGTAAAATGATCTCCTCAGTGATCGCCAGTACGGGTTTCGCCGAAATCGATCAACTGGGGACCTTCTAGCGTATGCCACTCACATATGGGGCGAAGCCCTCGAGAACAGTGGTGATGCACTTGCCGTTTCCCTCGATGTTTCGAAGGCTTTTGACAGGGTTTGGCACGCTAGTCTATTGGGCAAGCTTTCAGCGTACGGCTTATCCCCTGGCCTAATTGTCTGGGTGAAGTACTTTCTGAGTGAACGGTCTCTACGCGTCGTCGTTGATGGCTGCTCATCCGATACTGTGGCGACTAACGTAGGTGTTCCTCAGGGTTCCGTTCTCTCCGCAACTCTCTTCCTGCTGCATATAAATGATCTGCTCATTCCCGGTGTCTATGGGTACGCAGACGACAGTGTGGAGAGATATCAACCAAGCGCCCGGGCCAGTCGGGATCAAATCCAGTCAGAAAGAGAGGCTATGGTTGAGCGTGTGAGTCTCACACTACAGGCAGTCTCCGAATGTGGCGATGCCAATCTTGTGAGATTTAACGCATCCAAAACACAAGCGTGTCTTTTTACCGCTAAATGGAGCCCGCTCACCTTGGCTCCTACTTTCCGGAATGTATCCTTGGAGTACACTGACCGCCTTCAGTTGTTAGGGATTTAATTTTCTCCGAACCTAAACTATGGGCGGTTCATTGAGTCCAGAGCCAAAGCAGCCGCAAGGAAACTTGGTGTCCTTGCAAGGGTGCGGCGGTACTTCACGCCGGGGCAGCTTCTTACCTTATATAAAGCGCAAGTCCGGTCGTGCATGTACTGCTGTCACATATGGGCTGGTGCTGCAAAATGCCACCTGGCAGCATTGCACTCAGTGGAGAGACGTGTTAGAGGCACATAGGTGACCTTGATTTGGTTGAAACCAATCTTGTCAGCCTCGAGCACAGGCGCAGAGTAGCCAGTCTCTCGGTATTCTATAGGATGCATTTCGGTGAGTGTGCACAGGAATTACACGCCTTAATTCCTCCTGGAATAATTTGCCGGCGTCTATCTTTCCGTCCGAATACAATCTAGGCGTCTTCAAGGCAAGAGTGAATAGGCTTTTGTTACGATAAGACAGTGCGATTTACCATCTAGGGTTGCATCACCACTTACCACCAGGTGGGATTGTGGTCAAGCACTGGCTTATAATAAGTAAAAAAAAATACTAGCATAAAATAGCAGCTTAAGGCTGGTGTGATTCGTATAGTGAGTGTAGAGAACCGAAGATCCCTTATACTGGAAATGAGGCATTCCATCTTAGTCCTCAGTCCTTACAGGTCACGACGCATCTGCATTTTGATTCGTAGTTGAGGATAGATGTAGATGATTATGGGCCACAACAACTACTTAACATCAGATGGACTGCGTGCACGTTTGTCACCCTTATCCTATGTAAAAAAAATATTTCATAGTGACCTCTTCAGGATATATTTTAAATTATACAACGATAGTACGAAATTCCGAATTATTCCAGTACGTTTTTGTTGTAAGATGTCAGATGAAGCTTCCATAAACATTACGAACCGGACTAATAAAAATCCCTAATTTTACTAAGTCGTAGACTATATAAATTCATCGACAACTTTTTTGTTTCGCTAATGCTACATCAATAGAGGTGTCTATGGAATGGGAAAACGGAAAGAACCTTGTAAACGAAAGAAGGTGAGTAAAATAAATCTATCTTATTTTGTACCATGTTAAGCGCCATATGTATAGAATCCATCTTTAAAAAATTTCTTATTGTAGGACTCTCTCTCTTATTAATCTGAGAGTAAGTCAAATTACTTCGATAAACGGAACTTTTTGGATATAAATTAAAAGTACAGTCCTCGCAAAAAGCCCCACTGTATAAGTTGCGTTTCCCATAAACTTAGAATATACTGGCGTATAGACCGACATAGTGTGCAAGGGAGAAGAAAATTCCTTATGGCAAAAATGCAAGATAGAAAAGGATACCAAATCTCAAATGACTCTGTAACCGATTTTGAATGACAGGTCGGCGCAATTCGGCACGCAATTTTATATGTACGCTAGGGATTGACTTAACTATATCAAAATTAATGTCGATATTTATCTTGAATGTTTATAATGAATCGATAGACTTGCCCACGCAACAAGAAAATAAATCCTCGGTTTGCGTTCGTTTAGAATAAAAACAATTTCATTAAAAGGAGCCATTTCTACATTATTGATACCAGTAAGTATGATATTGTTATAACTATAAAACTTAAAAAAATTTGATAAAATAGAGACAGATTTTTGTACAATATAAAACTGTAATACGTTTAAGATTGTAATTATCCTATTAAAAAAAAAATGTACAACCTTACTTCACCACCCGTACCTCACACTAGTGCGATATTTCTTTGCATCACGCTATTTTCCCCAAGAGTTTGCGCGTACGAGTTTTATTTAGTAATTCTCTTGAAGCGCCACTAGACGCCCGCGCATGAGACGCGCGGTTGGATGTGCTAGGATAGTATAAATTCCATAGTATTTGATACTCACAACGCTCGATACCCGATTCATGTTTTATGGCTGAGGACGTTGTGCCGTGGGCTTAAATAGCGTGGTTCATCGCCTAGTGTTAGTCGTAGAGAAGAGGAACTCGTGGATAAGTTATAGCTGCGCAGATCAATAGATCTGCGAGATTAAGTTGCACTTGCCGCGGTCAGTACATGAATGAGTGACCATTTTCATAACATACCGAAATTGAGATAATAGAGAGTGCATCTGTATCCTCAGACACCTGGTGCACTTTACTCTGTTAAGGTCATTATTTTTTTTTTAATTCATGCAGCTAAAATGATAATAATTTTATTATTACTTTATACTTTTAAGCCTCATAAACATATTGGCCTTTAAGCGGAACAATCTTATTTAATTCATTCCTACAAGTATTCTTACTAAAATTAGTTCGTATTTAAGTCGAATGTTAAAATAAACTTCTATAATGTATTTCATTATTAAATGTTTGTAATTATCAAAAGTAATACTTATATGAAAATTAAAGCAGCTATTATGTACTCCGTGTCCCCGTTTTTTATTTCCCCATCAAAACTATTTATAAAATATAAATAGGTATATACTTAGTTATATTAACAATATGTTAAAAAAAATCCGGGGATACTGTCTATGGCAGTTAATATTTTTCTCCAAAGATTATAACTCGAAAATAAAACTTTCCCATCTGGTTCTTGGGGAGTTTTTTTTAAGTTTATTGGTAGAGTCACCTGGGATTTTTTACATTTGAATTAAAATCCAACAAAAGGCAGGTAGGCTCAGCTTAGTCCCAGGAACATGTTATATGAATACTTTTTAATTATTTTAGAACTATCATGGTAAAAATCCAGTTAATTTTTGAAGTTATTCAATTTCCTGCACTACACTATTTTTTTAATTATTTTTTTTTATTTGCCGCTTCCTTAACAATCATTTTTCGATAGTTCTTGTAAGTAACATGTACATCACTAGCTAACGCAGCACACAATGACAAATTAAAATTAGTCACGCGTTTTCGGGGTCAGCTCGTCTATACGCCAGTATATTCTAAGTCTATGGCGTTTCCACAGAGACAGCGTATCTCACAATCACAAATTGCCAGCGAGTATCATGAATTAGATCTTCTCAATAGGAGGTCAGTCCTTTTCTATGAAAGAACAAACGAGTATAAGGCTCACTTCATGAAAAATGATCGCCAACCATTGACATGATGAGGATGGAATTTCGAGTTCTATCGCAGTGTACAATAGTGAAACTCAGCTAGAATTAATCGGAAATCCGAATTCCTCTGAAGACTCCCCGTGGTATATGGAGATAGAAGATGTACAGAGATGCAAAACCAATGGATAAAGCCGATCGGAAAGAACTAGGTCGTCGATAATTCCGGACGCTCTGTTGAATGACGTCATGTAAGAGCTGATACTGAGGTGGCCCGAGAGATGAGAACAATAGAGGCCAAACTATCGTTTTGTAAAGCTGCAAGTAGTTTGCCGGCATGAAATATGGTCCCGGTCTACTGAGCACACCAAGGATTTTAGATCCCAGTGTAGCCTTGATTTCCAAGCAACTACGGAAATAAACGTCTATCGAAATGTTGATTTCAAGGATTCCAATGCTGACTGAGGCAGCAAAATAAGTGCCCTGAAATTGAAGGGGATATACCAAAAGGGTTTTAGCGGTAAACGCGTAAACCTATGACTTTTGGGGGTTAAACTGGACTAAGTTTAGTTGCCCCCAGCCAGAGACTGTTTAATAAAGACCTGATTTCAGGTAAAAGTTTGTTCCGGTACTTGACGACGTGTATCCCAGGAATTGTATAAAGCATTGCCAGTGCTGTCGTCCGATCACATCGGTGACAGATTACCATTATTATCATTCAACGAGAAGTGAATCCGCCCCTATGGATAGAACGCAAAAAATTAATAGAATCAGGCGTTACTTTGCGGAAATCCATTATATAAAACCTTTTAGAAAAATTTACTTTACACCGCACGTCACAAGTGCTGGGGTTAGTGGTGACGGGGATAGTGCACGCAATTGAGGGAGGGCGGGAGGTGCTCTTCATACTAGGTAAGACATCATTTTATTTTATAATGCGGATATTTGCGAAGTAAATTTTTCTAAAAGTATTTATAGAACGCAAAAAAGCCCGCATCAAAAGCCAATGCGCTGCTTTAGAATAACATACACGGCGGCACTGTATTCCGGATCAGGCGGTGATTCGAAGAGGCATAGGTGCAACAGGGCAGAGCAGAAGGTCCAATAAGGAAGGTGAATAATCCTATGCATTTGGTATCCAGGTGGGCGAAGTGGCCAGATGTGTCGGACCATAATATGCCCTCTCCGATTAGTTTACACTACTCTCCTTAAACAATGTACTTATTTACTTACTAAACACTAGACTAATATAAATTGGGCTTTAGCTAGACTGAAGGTTGTATGAAACATGTAGAAAGTCGATGGATGGAGGTTCCCTAGATAGCAGTGGAATGAAGATGGGCTGCAATGAAATTGAATGAAAGAAATAACGAAATGGTAAGGAAAAATGACCTGTCTCGGTGTATCGGGCAGGCCGCGGTAGAAGTCTGCGATGAGGAACTCGTAGGGCGCGGGCCACGTGTCGACCGTCTGCACGGCCACGGAGCTGGTGCGGGCGGGCGGCACGCGCGCGCAGCACGAGGCGGCGCGGCGCGGCGGCGGCGCGGCCCCGGCGCGGCGCCGCCCGCCCGTCCGCCGCGGGTCGCGCGCGCGCGGCACCGCCTCCACGTCCGGCCACGGCTCTTCTGCCCGCGACCGAGCCGTCAACTCCAGTACCTTTAGTTTTTAATTAACTCTTTATTGCTAATTTTTAAATTTAAAGTCCATGCGGTCTATCTCGGCAGCACTAAAGTTGGCTCGCCGAGACCTTAGCATGTGTTATCCTGGCGGCTTGACGGGGAGTCGATAGAGATGTCTTCGTGCGACTTCATATTCGTTCCTAAGATTGTCTTTTCATTTTTAAAGTTATTTTTGTCTATATTAATTGTAGTATAAAATGAAAGTTATATTTATTATGAAAATATCTTCATATAATTCAATTAAAAAATATAGTAAAAATTTTAATGAATATAATTAGTAAATACACGATATTGACGGGGACAACAATTTCTTTCTGTAACCCCAACATAACATGAAATTTTTAAAAGCATCCTACACTACCCTAAGGTTTGCTTCGCGCCGCATAATCCCAACGTTGTTGCTGATTCTGTCGCTGATGTACTTCAGGGAATAAAATCATTTATTCCATTATCTGTGGTACCTATCGGAGGCAGAACTCAGCCATAGTTTGGTCACTTCTGTAAAATTGCATGACGCTATAAGCAGGAGTGCTACTGGGCCTAGGCTGACGCATCAACACCCCGAGATATAAACACCAGCACTGTTAAAAAGAACTATAATTGCGCCTCCAGGTCTTTCAAAAGTGTCATTGCCAAGATAAAGTCAGAGCACATCGGCAGAATTGGCGAAAAACTAGTTCGCCTCCGTTAGAGAATACGTGCATTTTGGTCTCTCGCCAAGGCTGTCCGAAGGAACTTCTGTCAGCCATCTCTACAGATGGTGGACGACTCACTGGCCAATGACGCAAAGGAAAAAGCTGATCTGCACTCTTTTTGCTTCCAACTCGACTCCAGATGACGGGGGAAATACACCGCCGACAATCCCGCGGTGTGAGTGCTCCATCCAGGAAGTGATGTTTACACAGCGCTCGCTGCATAAAGCACTCCTCTCCCTGGACATAACAAGTCGAGTGGGCCTGATTGAGTCCCACCTATTGTGCTGAAGACGTGTTCTCCGGAATCGGCATCGGTTTTCACCCATCTTTTCCGTTACTCCTACTCCCTAGGTGTAGTCCCGAACTCATGGAAGACAGCTTTGGCGCACCCGATCCCTAAAAAAGGCGACCGCTCAGATCCGTCCAATTACAGGCCTATCACCTCCTTATTCTCCAAAGTAATGGAAACTATTATTAACTGCCAGCTCATGCGGTACCATGAGGATCACCAGCTGATCAGTGACCGCCAGTACGATTTCCGTCGATATCGCTCAGCTAGTGATCTTCTAGGTTACCTAACTCATAGATGGGCGAAGGCAGTGGAGTCCAAGGGGGAGGCGTTGGCCGTTAGTTTGGACATTGCGAAGGCCTTCGATCGGGTTTGGCACAAAGCGCTTCTTTCGAAGCTCCCTTCCTATGGGCTTCCCGAGAAATTGTGCAATTGGATCACCAGTTTTCTTGCAGATCGGAGCATCAAGGTAGTAGTAGACGGTGCATGCTCCGATTACAAGCCCATTAACGCTGGTGTTCCACAAGGCTGCGTGCTATCACCAACACTGTTTCTTCTGCATATCAGTGATATGTTGCAAACCGATAACATTCATTTTTATTCATACGACAGCACTGATGATGATTTATACACCGGCTGTGCCAATATTTCTCGGGAAAACGTCGCCAAGTACCGGAACAAACTTGCGTCTGAAGTCAAGTCTTTGCTGAACAAAGTCTCACATTGGGGGCGACTAAATCTAGTCCAGTTCAATCTCCAGAAGATACAAGTTTGCACGTTTACCGCTAAAAAGAACCCCTTTGTCGTATCTCCTCAGTTTCAAGGCACTCCCGTTGTTGCCTCAGTCAGTATCGGAATCCTCGGTGTCGACATATCGAGTGACGTAGTTTTGTGGCGCAGGTTTGGCCTCACATGGAATACTGTACCCATCTCTGGGCAGGGGCTTCCTCCTCAGTGCCAGCTCCTTCCACTTGACCGCATCCAGCGCAAAGCGGTTCGAATTGTCAACGATCGAGTTCTTTCCGATCGGCTTGACTTTTTGGCACTGCGTAGAGATGTTGCATCTCTTTGCGTATTTTATCGCATTCATCACGGGGAGTGCTCGACTAATTCCAGTCGCTCAATTTCACCATTGCACATTGCGACAAATTTCGCGATACCATCCATACCATCTGGATGATTGGTGGTTCACCACTGTGCGATTTAGAAGAAGTTTTTTTCCTCGCCTAACTTCCTTGTATTATCGATTACCACCAGCGATTTTTCCGGACCGATACGACTTAGGGACCTTCAAGAAAAGAGCCTACTCCTTTTTAAAAAGCCGGCAACGCACCTGCAATTCCCCTGGTGTTGCAGTGGTTCAAGGGTCAGTAGTAGTCACTTACCATCAGGTGAGGCGTATGCTCGTTTGCCCCCTCTCATATAAAAAATCCCCATTCGTGGTACAACCATAATATAGTTACACGCTACCACGTAAAACTTGTTTGTTTCTTTCTCTCACCTCGCGGTCCTCCACGTTGAGTGGCTCGGCGTCCGGCAGCACGGCGCGGTTGGGCTGCGGGCGCGCGACGGCGGCGCCGGCGGGCGGCGGCGCGGCGCACAGCGGCACGGGCGAGTCGGCCGCGCGCCGCTCGCTCGCCACGCGCGCCAGCCGCCCCGCCACCGCGTCGCTCGCCCCCGACCCCGCGCCCGGCGGCGACGCCTCCTTGCGCAGCCCAATCGCCCGCACCGCGCCCGACTCGCCCGGGAACCGGAACTGTGCGCGCGTCTCCTTCGCGGGCGTGTTCTCCGGTGTCGCCTCGACGGCCGCTTCCGGCGGCTCGACGACATCCGTTTCCGCGGGTAGAGGCGTGTGCGGCGCCGAATCCGCACCGCAACGATCCGTGAGCGCGAACCAGGACTCCGCGCCGGGCCGCAACGCCGCCGCGGCGCGAGCGGCGTGAGCACCGGACCCCGGCACCGGCGACGGGGTGATAACCGGCGTTAAAGAATGAACACCCGCCGAATTGACCCGCTCGTCAACGTGCTCGCGCGTCGACAGACGTCTGCTCTCGGCGACCACATCGTGAATCTCATGCCGCGTCCATCTCGTACTATCCGCTTCCCGTTGCCGCGAACCAGTCACGAGTGCCGGATGTAAACGCACGGAATGGAGTAACGGAGAGAGCCCGCGCTCCCAAAGGTCGCGCGCGGATTGTGAGTTACATTCCGCGCGTAGAGTCTCTATTAGAGTACAGGGGTGAGTCGCGTATAGGGCGTGGAAGAGCGCGAGTTGGGCAAGCTGGAGGTGGGCGCGGGCGGGCGGAGCGGGGGGCGGATCTAGGCCGGCGGGGCGGAGCATCGCGTCGGCGAGTTCGGGCCAGTGCGGGGCGGCGAGCGCTGGTGCAGCGTGGAGTAACGCGGCTAATGTCAGCAGCGCATGAAGCAGCGAAAGTGGTTCCCGTTCTATTCGTGCAGCGCGAAGCAACGCGGATGCCAACGGATGACCAGGCAAGCGATGCAGCCATGGCGGCCGACGCGCAACTAGCGGCGCTAGTGCTGCAAGTGCGTGGTGCCGCGACTGTCGATCTCCCCGCAGTTGCTCGAGCAGAGCGTCGAGCAAATGACGCGTGTGGGGCTCCGGTGCACGAGCGAGAAGATCGAGGGCACGCGTGGCTCCTGTGCGTGCGTGATACAATAAAAGCGCGCGTGTGAGCCAGGGCTCCCGCACAGCGTTGTACAGCGCAGCGACTGCGTCGGCTGCATCGCGTCCCTCCAGCAACGCGAAGACTTCGCCGGCTTCACACGCTGCTAGCATCTCCGATAGCCTGATAATCACAATAAAACTATTGGAAACTCGATACTTTTAACAAAATTTGGGTCACATCATTAGATTTGGGTTGTAAGAGTAGGGGATTACCCTTCTATAGACAATAGCTTATGTTTAGAGCGTGTGTTGCCAGTTTCTCGTGATTGGTACATATTTAGTAGATTTATTTTTATCAATTGAGTAAAAAGTGATTTAATACAGTTTAATCCTGATTTACTTTTTTACTGTTGCTCTAATGTATTTTTGTACCGACAATTTAATACGTCGAAATTTAAATTTAGTCAGTTTGATACCATTATTAAGTGTCTCATTGGTGATAAATATAGAAAATAAAATTTAGTAATTGACAATAATCTAAATTCACGATGAGTAAGACTTGGAAATTTTGAACATAGCTCAAAATAGGATGACAATATAAGAATAGAAAAAAAAATGTGGGATGTTAATAAAAACAGTGTGTGCCGAGAAGACACACAATAGAAGTGAAACTTTTGTATAGCAGGTAAACATTTCAATTATACATCAATGACTTTTAAATAGCATGGATTGTGTACATCATTCATTTATTTACATAAAATTAAATACATATGTGTCAGTGCATCATCTTCTTCGATCTTAAGAAGAGAAATTATCGGTTTAGGCAACACCAGGACTCACCACAGTAAATAAAGTAATTATTATAGATCCTAGTGTAACACAAAATACTCATGAAAGTTTGTTAATTAGGTAATTATCTATTATTTATGTATTTTTTATGTAATTTTATTTATATTAAACCAAAGTTTAGAATGTCAACAAACATTTATTTAAATGAAAACTTACAAATTGTTATTTAAAATAAACGCTGCTCTGCCTTATTGGGCTTCAAAAATTACTCCCTTGTTCATTATTTTTATAGCGACATCTACTTCATTCTATAACTAAAGTCATTTTATCGAACCATAATTGATTAACTATCATAGTAGTACATAGAAAATGTAGTAGATGGCGCTATTACTCAAATGCAATCACTCTTTTTAAAATAAATATGTGTAACTTGGTAACTGTCTTGAATAAAATTAATAGATTAGTATTTGAACTAAAGACTGTTATAATCTTGTAATTGTAATTGTATTACTATATACTTAATGTCCTGTGTTTGCGATTTGAATGATCGACCAGTTGACCTGAATGACGCGGTACGTAGTTCTACCCCCACCACTTTTCATCAAACAAACAGGTTGCGGATCAGAATTTCAAGGCCCGCCCGTAAAAAAATTCACTGCAAAATTTACTACATCATTTTAAAAATTTGTTTAATTTTTTAAGTTTTGTTCTAAAAAAATAGGTGCTAGCAATGCTATTGAACATTAATATTCCCTTTGACTACATCTGGTAAACTTAAAATACATGTGTTAAAAATAGTTCAACATAGTAGTCGAATGGCAGATTTGAACCCACAATCTTTTCAAACTGCACCCTGCCATTAAGCTAGTGTCACTTTAAAATTAAAATTGGTTGTCACAGCAATTGTTTTTTCTTTTTCATTGTATAGTTTACTATATAGTTGAAAGCCTTGGATGATATTCTTAATCTCAACTTTTGTAAATAGTAATTGGTTGGCAACTCCATTGTTTGCATTGTTATTATACTATATTTTATAGTTAATTTGATTTATTTTAATAAATACAGAGTAAGCTGTTTGTTGTGCAAGTTTCCTATCCTAATACTTATTCATTAATGTTGCAGTATGTAGTTTTAGTTCATGATCACACAAGCAAATGCATAAGCACACTATCACCAGTTTATACAGTTTAGGTGTGGTTTATTTAAAACCAAACCAGGTTTGGCATTTTAAAAGCCTAACCTAAACCTTGCAGGTGAGGTTAACATTTGGAGGAGAAATTCTTATATTTCCCCTTACACTTTTTTTTAATATTATTATTATTTAACACGCCGGCAGTTGAAACAACTGATACAAGCCCGTATCCTACTTTCAAATGTGTAATTGTTCTATTTTAGTTGTTTATCCAATCTGTTCTTGAATTGTTAATGGTTTGTGCAGATGTCACTTCTGATGGTAGCTTGTTCTGTGCTTCAACCACTTTTTGGGTAAAAAGAGGGCTTGTGTGGGTTATTATGTGAAGCAGCTTTAGTTAATTTCGGGTGATGCCCCCTAAGATGTGTGTTTGAGTACTGGAATAAATATTTGTCAAAATTTTGTAGATTGTATTGTTCATGTATAATTTTATATGTTACGGTAGTCTTCTCGCTCTCATCTCTTTCAGAGTCGTTAGTTTAAGTTAATTCAGCCTTTCCTCATAAGGTATGTTTTTAAATAATCTAGTATCTTGAAAATCTGTGTTGAACCTTTCTCAGTAACTTAATATCTTTTTTGAAGTACTCCAGATTTGGAATACATATTCCATGTTTATTTATCAAATTTGCAATCATAAATAACAGTAATAGCAGAGCCTTGTGTAACAATTAATATTGATTATTTTAAATTAAGTATTTTATATCAATATTCTGTCATTTACTTGACTCAATAGTTTTAAAGTAGTTTTATTTTGATAAATTTCCATCAACCAATACAATGTCTATGATAAAGTGAGACTTGGGGTTGTGGCTATTGCTGGCTTTTAAAAATAAGCCATAGTAATAATGAGCGGTAATTTACGATTAAGTAAATAATTTAAATATAAAGTAAATATGTCGTTAATACTGAGTAGTTATTGTGTATATATTGTCCCACCTCATTTAAAAAACTGGGTAAGTAATCCTTACCTTTTAGTTACATTTGAAATTAGTCAATTACTAAGTTTCAAGCAGAATCTTAGAAGAGTAACGATGTTGCATAGCTGAAAGAGTCCAATAAAACTCACCAACTAGCAGCTCGGAGAGAAGATCCGTCCGGAACTGACGCAGGAGGAATTTTGATATAGGCTCTTTTTCGCTTTGGTAAAGATAATGGTAGTAATAGCAAACTACAATACAACGAACTAATAACGAAAACAATTGCGTTGTAAGGCAATCCAGCTCTTTTTCACACTTGTGTAAAATAATCATTGACTTCCAGTGTGATAAATTACGTTCAAAGACAAATAACAATGACAATCACATATGACGACAATGACAGCCGGTTGACGGTAACAATGACATTAGAAGGAAAATGTTGCTATTACTTCTTGCAATTCTATTTTGATATGTTTCTACAATTTTTCCCTCATATTTATTTTAAAAGCTTGTAGTTCACCTGATTGTCTGACAACCACCGTCAATGAACAACTGCAACCCCAAGGGAATTGCAAGTGCATTGCCGGCTTTTTAAAATTGAGTAAGCACGTTTCTTTAAGGTCCCTAAGTCGTATCGGTCTTAAAAAATCGCCGGTGGTAGAAGATTTTTTTGTAATTTGGTGGCTGGAATATGTGCAAATGCAAAAAGATGAAAGGGCCGAATTAAACATGTCGAAGCCCTTAGGCAGTGCAACTCTCGGGGCCCCGAGAATTGCACTGCATAAGTGAGCATGAGAAGTGCACTCTTTTCAGCCGTTTGAATATCATCAGCTCTATTCAAGTTAATGAAGGGATATAATAGCATCAGCAGCATCACCGAAGTAACGATTAACTTCTCAGGAACTTATAGTTAAAGATTTGTATTTAGGCTCATTGAAATGGTCAATATATATGTAGCAAGCTACGTCCCATTAGGAATAGTGTATGAGATAAGTCCGTCTCAAGGTCACATGCTGGAGCAGGAAAGAGAAATAAGATGGGGGTGCTTTAATTTCAATCGGTCAACCACTATACGATTTACAAGAAGTTTTCTTCCTCGCACAAATTTCTTGTGGAATCGATTACCACCGGCGATTTTTCCGGATCGATACGACTTGGGGACCTTCAAGAAAAGACTCTACTCTTTTTTAAAAGGCCAGCAACGCACCTGCAATTCCCCTGGTGTTACAGTTGTTCATGGGCGGCGGTAGTCTCTTGCCATCGGGTAAACCGCATGCTCGCTTGCTCCCTCCCATATAAAAAAAGAAAATAGTTTTGCCAAGTACATTCAGTTTAAATATTAACTTTCCTGACTTTTTTGAATACAAAATCGTTTATAACATCTTGAAAGTTGACCTTTTCCAATACATAATTTGCAATCGCCATTATCGACAATGAATTTAAAAAGTTACGTTCGCCCGTTGCATTTGATATCATCAGACTTCTATATATTTGGAATGCTATCATTATATTCGGTAAAGTTATTGTATGATATTATCAAAAATTTATTTAAACGATTCCTTGGCAGGTACAATTTTATCTTTCCCTACAATCCCCTAATCCTCTAATTTTAAGATGAAGTAATTGAAATATACCATCTTGTTTATAAACTCGGGTTCAATGTTCTCGGAATAATGTTCACTAAATTTTGTACAAACCTCTTTAACTACATCGTTGGTCTTTTTCATGAAATCTGTTAGAAATCTAAACAGAGAATTATTTTCCCAGTAAGCTTCTAGTCGCCCCGACAATGGCGAACACAAAAGTTCTTATTTCACTTCAATACATGCAGTATTCCCGAAGTTATAGCTATGTGAAGTTTAAGTCCTTTTTTGAATTTCAGAGATTACGCGCGTTCACACTATGACGTCACATCCCCGCAGACCGCGACTGCGACACAAACGCGGCGCTCGGTTCGGGCGGTTTGACCAAATTACGCGGGTCTCGTTTCATTTTCTTTCGATTTCTTTTGACGGCTCCGTGGCGCAGTGGCTTAGCAATGAATTGATGCGCTGGGGGCCGCGGGTACGAATCCCGCACGGAACAAGTATTTGTATGGCCTACAAATAATTGTTCCGGGCCTGTTTGTCCTCGTGCAATCTATGTTTATAAACTGCCTCGACGATACAGGAGAAAATCCTAGTTTGGGGGTAACATTTTTCTAAAAATAAATAAAATAAATTAAAAATAATGATCGTCTTTGTATTCCTAATACTTATAGTGTTTTTGCTTGT